TTTAAGTTGACGGGACGATTCCACACAATCAAATGATGAACTTGGATGAAGTTTTTTTTTCTGATCGCTTTTTAGACGACGTTCCATCTACTTCCCCGGTGGGGATGCATCTTCATGAAATATTCCATTAGTATCGAACAAGGAAATGAAATCGAATGCGTCGCTTGATTCCCATGCAGAACAGTGACGAGTTTGAATTTTCATGTTGAATCTGGCGTTCTTATTTCCACAGTTAATCTAGAAAACCTCTAATAACTGCCGAATGGACTGTCGTTGAAGAAGCGCTGTTTCATTTCGAGATGGCGTCCTTCAAAGTATACCTTAATCACGATCTCCCAACAAGATTGATGGAAACCCTCTTTGAAGTTGGATTCCCGCGAGACTCCATGGGAAAGATATTCTCATGCACGTGTAACTGCATTTGGGACCTGCAAAAGATTCTCATGCTGAAATCAATTGAAAATCAGGTAGTTTTTCGATACCCTTCCTATATCCTAAATTCTGATTAGATGTTCAAGATCTCCTCTCCACTCCTGTTCCCCAATTTTTTACATCGTTACGAGCAGTGGCATAGCAATTGTCTGTTCCTCGCATGAATGGCACCGCCCAAATAAATCGCCCATGTGTCTCACTTCCTGAACTCCGTTTACATTCTTGGTGGAGGGACCAAGAGAGGCAGAAGGAAGAGTCTAGACTCTAGACTTTCTTCCTCAGCACCAGCTACTACATTGCATAATTTAGGGGCTTTTGAGAAAAAGATCCCACTTCTAATTATTTCCTTTCCAGCAATTTTAATTATGGGGAGAGATTTCGAGTTGTTGAGGACCACATTATATTTTCATTACGTTTAATATTTTCACATCTATAAAATCAGGTCACATTTAAAAAAATAAAGAGGAATATTTCCAAGTCTTCGTCCATCAGAGGTGGGAGACCATGATTCTGCATGAAAATGCATGGACTCTTACTCTGAATGGATAAACCAATTGGAATATTTTAATGAGGAACAATGGAAATTCCCTGATGTAGGTGCTGGGCGAGGGTATAGGTCGGAAAATGTTATCAGATTTTCCACTCCAAATCTCCAAAAGGCTGGCTCATTGCGGCTCAAGGAAATCCCTAAATATAAAAACAATGAAAATAGCATGAAAATCCTGGAAAGGATTAGTTCCAAGTTGGGCCTCGTTCAAGTAAAATATTTCAGAACTTTCTATGGGAAAATTTTCGGAAACTTTCCGTTATTGTTTTGACTCGTTATATCAATGTATACGAGGCGAATCAAAGGAGAGGCAGTGAATGTGACGACCATATAACTGGATATAACGTATCAAGTCCAACCAGCCAGCTCTTGCCATGAGCCTTTCTCCATCATTTCTTAATGCTTCCCATAATTGCCCTTACGGATCTTACCTGATGCTCCTGATGAAAGTTTCGGCGCAGCATAAAAAAAGTGTTCAGGGTTGTAATTATTCTGGGTCTGACTGTCGGTGGAAACTTTTGCAATTATTACAACTTGCATGTTTTTTTAGTTCCATTAAAAGCATCTTGAAAGACTGAGCTAGGCAAATAAAGGAGGAAATCAATATTCACTGCAAGAGACTCCGCCGAGATAGGAAAAGATGAGTGAGCCACCATCCTTCTTTAATCTCACACCTACTCTCAATACTGCAGAACTGTTTCTTTTTTAATATCTTGATCCTTCATAAATCGCGATAAATCACGGTGTTTTAAATAAATCAATGGCCATTCACGGGCTTTAAGGTCCAAGAATTGCAACGCATTTTCACTTGCAATGAATCTTCTAGAAGAGTACAAAACGAGTAGTGCCGAAATGGATCCTGGAAGTGAGAGAAAAATGTAATTTTCTTCCTTTGAAGAGCCAGAGCTGCTCAACAATGAAGACATCCCGCTCTGATTGCATCAACTTGAATCCTTCACACTGGTAACTGGATTGTCATCAGTGCTGCCCACGCTATTGCTGGTATTGGAAGCGAAAATGAGTTATGCGACGGCATCGGATTTCGATGAAAACAGTGCAATTTCATTGTCAGGCTGTTTACATTCTATCGATTCAGAATTATTGTGATAATGAAGTTTTTGCTTATTTTTTGTTTACAGTATGTTTTGGTGGGTGTCTTTGGTGAGTATTTCTCAGTATTATCCATGTTCCAGCAAGATGCATGAACACAAGATGCATATTTGGATAACGACCAAACTTGGTCCGAGGGATTGGGAAGACTTAGATGATAATCATTTGACTTCCTCAGGAAAAGTTTAAGGAGATGTCAGTCATACAGGTTCCTGAATTTTCAGGGAAAATTTCCTAGGAATCTATCATATTAGTAATGCAGATATTTTAGCTTATTGTGACAAAGATCTCTTTTTTCAGAAATTTTATGGAATCATTTCAATAGAATCTGATCCTTGCATTTCTGAGCCCATGGAGCCCCTGGATCCATGGAGCAGGCGAACAAAGGAATCCATAATGAAAAACCACTTCTAATGAAATTATCCAGAGGCATGATTTCCATGAATTCCGATTCAACCCACGATAACGATACACTGTGCGTAATATTTTTTAATACTCTCAATCAAGTATTGCTCCACACTGAGTCATCTGCGCAACTCCAATCTACCGACACGTGCTGTGAGTTTTCTAAGCTGTTTGTGTTGTTTGGCAAGATGGATGAAGAGAAAGAGACAGAAGGCCTGAACTTGAAAGGCATAAGAAAAAGAAGTGGGCCTTCATGCCATTTGGGTGGAGGCCAGAAGTAAGCCTCCCGATCATGGATCTCTTGAGGAGGATTTTTCCTTCTTCTTCCAATGTGCCTTCATATTGACGCGGGTTTTGAAATCGGTCTGCTTAATTTGCCGGACTGTTATGAATGCGTGTATTGAAATGTGTAATTATTGAAAATTTTATTTTGTCCTTGAATTAATTACCAGTCGAAGCTCTTTGAAATATATAGCTGTTGAAAAGGACAGTCGAATTACAGGGTACCTCAAGGCGGAAATTTATTCCAGTATCAACCAAGCAAGGGCCATAACAACAAGAGAGAAGCTATGAATTCCAGCTTTACTTGAAACATGCGTGCGAGCTAAAGGGTCCCGTGGAGGTACCTCAGCCCGGTGAGTCATGAACCACTGAATCATTGCTTTGGGAAGTGAATAGGAATTGGCATGAAAATATAGGCGAATTCACAGGTTTGTAGTAACCAGGTGGAGGTATATTTTTATTCATCTGCCCGAACGTTCACTAGACGGTCTGTGCAAGGAAGCACGGTACTGGCAGACGACCAGTACTGTAGGGACAGTAAAGAACGACGCACGATCATCAATCATCAGTAGTGCCATGGAGTGAATAGTCCTGTGACAAATGTTTCGGCTCATGCCTTGGACACTGGTGTGACTTCATACCCTCCTTGTTTTATGTGGGATTTTGTCATGTAAGGACCCACCGGAATTCCCCCGCCGTTGCCTCCAATTAAAGGGCTTGAACGGAGGCAGAAGAACTTGGGTGTTTCTTCTTCATCTTAAAGAGGAAACACCCACGCCTTGCCTTGTTATTTTGTTTCACGTTTTTCACATCTGACTCGAATATCGGTAGCGAAAGGGTTAATCAGAATATCCCTCATGCTCAGCCACTGGAGAAATTACTCTGCTTTCAGAATAATTCTGCAAATTGTATGCGCTTAATGAAATTATAATTAAAGTCCCAATTAAAACTTGATGACTATTTGATCGCGATTGAGGCATTAATAGAGTTAATCACCAATATTCATCTAATCTTATTTTAATGCTCCACATCTAAGATATAGTATCGCAGCCTCATATAGATTCATCCTTCAACTCATTCATTAGAGAAAACTTGAAACGCTACACAAATGTAGTCATCAGGGCACGCTCTCATCCCCTTACGTGAGTAAACTTAAAGATATTCGTATATATGGAAATGCGGATAATTACCTCTTAGTTAAGTTGCCTGCCATCTGATTTCATTTCGAAAAAGCAGAAACTTTCTTCCTTGTTTCTTTCATAACATTATTTCGGGTTTGTTCTATCGTTCGCTGCATAATATCTTCCTTCCCCCACTCCATTCTGACTTCCATGTCGATTGAGGATCTCACTAGGATTCTGAAGGAATGTGACAGGGACTCACGGAAAATGTTTCCCTGCAACTTTAAAGAGAAATTTGAAATGAAAAATAGAGTAGACAAGAGCAGATGGGCAGCGACAGAGTTAATGACAGGAGAGATCCGGCGTTGGACCTACCATTAATACCCTTTGGAGGGTTCCATCTGTTCACAAGAAAAAGATATCGCATCTTTGAAGATACCCGGGCGTCGATAAGTTTTATGGGCGGATTATACGTCTGGAACAGAGTATCCAGTATCCAGGGAATTCACAGGGCATCTTCATCGATTCATCCATCCAGCAGTCTTCCAGGCTCCACAGAAAATGATGGGGGAAAGACAGACATAAAAATTCCAATCTCGTCAGTCTCGTGGAAAGGGAACGGAATGACCCAAGGCACTGGGCCTCTCATATTATGCTTCCCTTTCCGTCAGAGGATATAATATATCGCTAGGTTTGTGTTTAAGAAACGAAGTCACATTCACTTACCGGTGCCGTTTTACTGGGATTGACTTCATGGAACGATTCCCGTTTCCAGTTGACGGATGACATCATTTCCTGTTTCATGAGATTTCGACTTTCTAACTTTGTCACGTCATCATGGTAGGTCGGTATCGGGATCGGTATGCATTTTCAATATAGGAAATGAACAGCGTTTATGCAAGAGAACGAGCACTGAAATCTCTATTGACTCTGTAAATGGAATTTTCAACGGCTATGCTCTCAGTTTCATAGCATCTTGGGAGATCTAAAACAGCCTAGGTGCCTGTCAAATGTTAACGCAGTTTTCCCGGTTCGTTTCGCTAGGCGCAGACGAATAAGTTCCTCGAAACACCAAACACGATGATCATGGTTTTTATTCATGGCCACATGTTGTCCTTCATCGAAAAAAAGACACCGAATCACCGGGAGAAGACACGTTTATGACGAGATCGCCTCTTTGCTTTTCTCATATCACCATCACCATTGCACATACCATGAAACCAACAAGTATTCCACCCGCTTTGATGTTCAATGGCGACACTAGAGGCTCCATGTCGATGCGGCTTAAGTCCAAATTTTCCACTTCTCATTCGAGCATAAGTGACGAAATGGGCTTTTATATCTTTTTTTTTCTAAATAGTTGTTTTGGATTTTTTGTTTACACACAGATCACAGATTTCACAGCAAGCGCAGCGCCGTCCCCGATTTCACGAAGCCCTCTTTCCAGCCTTCACGGAAGGGGTTCCTTTATCGGCATGTCGTCCATTCCGCACATCACCTCATGAAAAAAATGAGGACGGCAGTCCAGGCCAAGACTCGGGTCCAGGTCCAGGTCCAGGTCCAACTGCGGAGAATCACGGTGGCTGAAGAGGAGTTTCTCCTCTGAATGGCTGCCGTCTTGTCTCCTGGAAAACAAATCTCACTTGAGCAAAAAGAAGAGAAGAAAAATGAAAGGCCAAGAGGGCTGTATTGTAGGTGACAGTTCTAAAATGTGATCTTTCAACCGCACGAGATCAGAAGTTCGGAAAATATATCAATTTTTGCACATTTGGGTAGATGGGAAGTCATTCCGTCGAATTAAATTCAATGATTTCAAAGTCCATTGACGGATGTATGGCATTCTAGTACGAAAAATAGGCACCATAGCTCACTGAAACTTAAAAAAAATTGTGTCAGTACATCATGGGGAAACGTTATACGAAAAAGAAAACTCATACGAAATATGCATCCCGCATAGTTTCAAAGTTGGTAAGTCGTACACCTGCCAACCGACTTTGTATCATCATCTGCTTCATTCTCGTAAGCAGGAAACCCTACGCCAGTGGTGCACAACCTTTTCCCCATAGAGGGTCAAATTGAGACTTAGGTTCATGTTCGAGGGTTTCGAAGGCCTGCGGCCCTCGAATATGAGCCGAAATAGGCCGCATATAAATATGGATCTTTAGAGACCGGCGGCATCCAAGGGGCCCAAAAAAAATGCCTCCGCGGGCCGTGGGTTGTGTTGTGCATCACCGCTCTATGCACTCCAATTCAGAAAATGGCGTCTCTCATTAAAGGCGAACGCTGATTGTCAAGAGGGTAATTCATCATTCCCAGCGTGTTGTCTATACTGCATGGTAAATTTCAGTCGCCCTTACCTCGTCGACCAACGGAGCCCGAAATATATTTTAAAAAACTCGTGCGAGGTAAGTAATTCGTTTTATGGACCTCCTACATGCGAGAAAAAGTATTTGTGTGAATCGCCTTCAATACCTGTAATGACGGTCTGGTGCCCTTTGAGCGTACCTGCCAACTGAGCACAAAAGCATATCTGATATTTGGTTCATTTGATTGAATTAGTAATGTGGGGCCTTTTTTTCCTTCTGCCCTTTCTATGAATGATTTATCATCTCCCAGTCTTTTGAGGAGTACTTCACGATGATTCAGAACATTCCTTGCCATCGATCGCAAACTTTTTGTACAATTAAAGGTCGGTAGATTCATCCCCAAAAATAAGCAGGAGTGGCATCAGAGAAAACAATCTGAAACGAAACGATAAATGAAAATGTAGGGATGGATGTGACGAACCAGAGACGAAGACGACGACAGGATGGGAATTGGCGGAATCCGAAACACAGGTGTAGTTCCCAGAGTCCCTGTATTGGGCATCTGTAATGACTAAACGAGCCTCGGATTTGGAATCCTCCCTTTCAGACAGAGATATTCGAACTCTTCCAGGCTCCTCCTCTAACCTTTTCCCATTGTGTCTCCATTCCGCTTCCTCCAGCGATGCGGAACTCTGGAAGAGGAGACTTCTACTGTCAAGAATTCCTTTGGTATCAGACAAACTAATGTAAACTTCATATTGAAGCCCCCATTCCAACTTGGGGATGGAAGACGACATGGAATGGAAAGTTTCGTATCTGGGTAGAAAAGACGACAGCGTGATCCAGAAGAAACTGATGTATTCATTTATTCATTCCTTTTCATGGCTGCACATCCAAATGGAGTCGCGGAGGAACAGTTAAATGTTTATTTTTTAATATTCGAACAAGAATTGACAGACTTCCACGAACATGGAAGTTTTGATATCGATCCCGCAAAAGCAATCCATAGGAGGAAAATCTTAGGGATGAGAAGCAATTCAATATTTCCAGGAAGCTGGATAAATCTCTATGGTCCCTTGGCATGAGCCCTCTTCCCCGGAATTTCATTCCAATGAAGTTTTCATTCTAATCAATTTCCCAATTGAATTTTTGAAGACCAAAGTTGACGCCATAAGGCCTGGTAGTCTTGATCAGCTGGGGAAAGGATTCAGCGAATAAGTCCAAGCGATCAATGCATATCATTGCATTGACAATGAGACTGCGCAGGTGGTCGGCGTGTGTCGCGAACGACAGCGTACATATTAAAGCCGATAAATGACTTGATGAAAGGTGTCAACATTTGGTATGGAGAAGTACTCAAGTTCAGACAAATTTTTAAATTAATTCTCTCAATTCAAGTTAAAGTAAAAAAGAAATGTATCAGCTACTCCTGGATCACCCTATACTATGGCTGAATAAGAGGTAAAAAAAACCATGAACGACATCTTCCTTGGGGGTCTCTTCTTTCCTTCTCTCCCGGGATCCGACACTGATACATCACCACATTTGTTCGCATCTTGTCCACTCGGACACACATTGATATTTGTGTCCAGGGTATCCCCCCCCTCTACGGCGTTTCCTTTCGCAGCTATGAATGAGAAGGGGAAAACCTGACGTGTCAATCGACCAGAAAGGGCTTTTAGGCAGCGATTTACAACGCAGAAATATCGATCCTTGGCCGAGATTCCGTGCTCATGAAGGGAATGAAAGCCTTTCCCTGTATGACCCCAGGTTCTCCTTGTGACTTTCTTTCCTTTATGGAGATTTGCAGAGGGGGAGGGGGGAGGTGGAAAAGAGGGGAGGGATTGGCAGGCCATAGTAGGGCGTGTCAAGGCAAGAGGAATCCGCAATTACTCTTTCCCTGGGATTAATGGGAATCTTCATTTCTTACCTTATCAATGATGCAGGAGATTGATAGCGTGCTCCCCTTATCCAGGTGGTATTCTCGAGCACCTTCGATCCTTGCCTCGGGTACCAACACTCTTAGGGTCACATCTTTCGACATCTTTCCCTGTTCCAGAGACACCTGCAAAAAAAAAAAGATTATAACTGCACTTTCGCGACAGCAGGAGAGAAATCGTTGCTTCAATTTTGGGAAGCATTCATGTGGAAAAAAAGAGAGGGAAATTCACTGGCTATGGCAGTAGTAGACAAGTGTGCGTGCGCTTTTTTTTTTTTATAAGGAGGAGTGAGTATTTGAGGTAAGAAGAGATGTGCCGCGTCGAGGACAGAAGAATGAAAGCTGAGAAACTCCGACTCCCTCCTTTGTTCCCTGAAGCATGAAACGCGATGGAGTGAGAGCATCTACAGAGAGCACCTTCGTCGCCCGACAACTTTTCAACGCAACTCCGTCACGAAAAGCCATTTCCTTTCCTGAAGCGAGATGCTCTCACGTTCAAAGGAAAGTTCTTGGACCTGTTTTTGCCATCAAAAACAGACCCGGATAGCTTTCACTCCGAGTAAAAATGTCAATTTCTTCTTTGAAGTTCAGGGGACATTCTAAAAGGCCATGCACACTAGCTGCGAAGAGCTGTGTTGCGATCACTGCGACCGTCGCAGCACGTCGCAATCGGTCGCATTGAAGATGCGTGGGATCTTCGCAGTCGGTCGCAGTACGCTTCGCAATGGAATCGGACGATTCATTTCAGTCGCATCCAGTGGTTTACGCTGCCTAGCTATAGTCTGCAAGTTATGAAATCCTTGGATACTTAATTTGGTGACTCTTTTGGTGGAATGACATTGGCGGTAGATGATGCTGATCATCACGATTGATTCTGCATGAACGATATACATAGCTTAAGTAAATAAATCTTCAAGAAATATCTCAAAATCAATAATATCCCCGATGATTTTCCATTGTTTCAATGCAAGAATTCTAATTTTAATTTTTTTTTTAGTTGAGAAGCTCTTGTTCTTCGAGTGCAACAACCGTAGTCGTCCCCTCCTTCAGGAGAGTGTTGCATGATTTGTACTCCCTCCCCCCCCCCGCCACCGCCACTGTTAGGAATGTAAGATTTAATCTTACAAAATAGTCTTACTTTGGCCTAACGTGGGTGCAGCGCCTCAGCCACATGTCACAGATATGACGACCGCCGTATCGACGATGCTTTTAATGACATTCTGTAAGTGCGTCACCCCTTCCTCGTTAGCAATCGGTAAGCAAAGTTCGCAATAGCCAAACTTTTTGCGCCGTTGCGCCGCAGCTAAGGCGCTGCTTCGACTTGTAGTTCCTTAACCTGTTTCCTATGGACTGGCTCCTTCTGACCTGTGCAGCTCGGTCGCTGAGGGGCTCTTAATGCCAACGCGCCTTAAGGAGACTCTTAACTTCCACTCAGACACTCTCGCGTCGGTGATAATGCGGGAGTGACTCCTCACGCATGGACGTAACTCATGCTATAACTTCCGGTCATTTGAGGACGATAGCATCACTCATAGGGTCGAGGACTTTTCAAAGGGGACAAAGGGACGTATTTCTTCTCAAAGTTCATAATTCAAAGGATCGCAACCTGATGTCACCGTGCCACAGCTATATTTCCGGCGTCGATACAAATGAATAATGAGGAGGGAATCGAGCATTCTCCTCATTAAGTATCCCGGATGATCACGGAACCAGAATCAAAGATGTAGATACGCTCTCTCTTCATCGATCCTTGCCTTTCTAGGGGAACTTGGGATGATTCCTCGGGAGGTACTCAAAACCCGACAAGGTCAGAGAAACCGTTGGATATACTTGACAAAAAAGGCAGAACGGAAGAAGAAACATTCCGGACTTATTTCCCATGTGACCATATCCCAAGCCCTTTGCTCCCTTTGAAGCAGACGCCCTCATCCATCACGAAGCGAGGCTTCTGTATCTACGGGATCGAGAAAGGCCATGTTCGGCGAATACGATTGAAAAGAAAATTGCGTTGGGAACACAATAGTACGTCAAATAACAGCATTATTTTCCGTGTTATTGCTGTGAGCTCTGGTTGCCAGAGGCAAGCGTAGTTTAAGGCTTTGAAACTCGATTATGCTGTTTGATAATTTCTCGTACAGAAGCGCGAAGCTGAATTCTCTTTCATCCATCTGGCCCAGAATGGAAATGGGGCTTTTTCTCAGCCTTCATCCTTTCGATCGTGATATCCGCTTCTTTTCCAGCTAATACGAGTTTGATCGAAGACTCCCGCCGACCCGATAAGCCGCTTGATGCAGCTCGTCGTGTCACGATTTCCTCCATTTGCGCCAAGCTTTCGTCGTGATAATGCAAAGTAAAGTGGGTTTCCTGGTCACAGTTCGTTGCTTGGCAGCAGCATCAATTTTCCGCATCAGATGATTCCATATATTTTCAAAATGTCTCAAGAGATTTCTCTCGCTTTCTTTCACTTCCTGATCTTTTTGAAATTTCAGTTTCTTCATTAATTTGCCCCATTCCTGTAGCTGCTCCAAAACGTATGGGCAGTGATGATGACATTTAAGTGCTCTTTATGAATAAATGAGGATTATAAGAGTAGGGAGGCAGTACTTGATTGACATCACTGTCTAAATGTTTTGAAATGATGGTCAAATTCTGGAAAATGGCTTGAGAGGACACCAGCCACCAATAATCAGGTCTACAAAGAAAATCAAAGTTACCTCAATCAATAAAAAAAAAAGATTATTTGATATTCCATCCAGCAGAAAAGAGAGCGAGCATCATGATCGAAGTCAACACGTCCTGAGACAAAATAAGGCATAGCTCAGCTGGATGGACGAAAGAGCTCCTCCCCTTCCTCGGGATATGAACAAAGATTGTATGAAACATTATTTCTGAAAATTATTCGTGTCTCTGATGCAGGCATTGTTTCCAGCAACGAAACGGAAAGCGATACTCGACTTTCAAGAATCCGTTATACATGTATAACGGTTTCTTTGAAGTGATTTTTTTTTATGATACCGACCTGGCATTTGTAGGTACCGTTGTCCTTGAGTTGAACGTCCTTGATCTGAAGGATCCAGGAATCAGATCCATCGGGGTGAAGGACAGTGAAACGATCATTATTCGTGAACACGTAGAGACCCGCCGTCAGAATCTTGTAATTCTCCTCCTTGTACCAAGACAACTGCAATTGACAATGAAATATGAAAATCTCTTTAATATTTAAGACCAATCTCCGTCAGTTTCACCGCACGAATCTATGAATAATAGATAAAAACAGCAAGAACAAAGCTTCCCCAAGACATAAACGTATCTACAAGTGGAAAACGAGGGTTGCATGGGAATGGAGGGCTGAGGGTGTCAGTGACAGGGAAGGGAAAGATATCCTCGAGATGAAGCCAGAGCAAAGTAGGAAAAAGGATTCCCAGGAGAGAATATCCCGGCACCTTTGGGCGTGGATAGGGAGGTAAGGATGAAATGATGAGAATGGCGGATCGTATCTCTGTCCTGTTTTTCATCATGGTCGCAGACATAGAACTCCTTTTTAACAGAGAGGCTTTATAACGACCGCACATACTACGTCCCGATGTCGATGGGCTGCGAGAGAAGAGCACGCAAGGCTTTTTCTCAAGGATCACACGAACCTTTATTATGGAATAGGGAAACCGTCGAGGTATTCCAAAGATTCCGTGCATGGGGGATGAAGGGCCTCGGTGAAAGCAACCCGTTTATACTTTGGGAAAGCTGCTTCAGAATATCACCCGGGGGCTCCGAGAAGGATACATGCGAATGACGATGTAATTCCATTAGACTTTTTCCTCTGTGACGTGCATCGCTTTCCGAATCTCTCTCGGTAACGACCACTGGGATCAGGAATTTTTCTGGTCTGGGTCGGAAACAGATGGGCTCATAAATGTCTACGAGAAGACGGCTTCCATCCCCCCTCATTTGAATATTTTCTCTCTGAGGGAATTTTCCTCTAGAGATAGAGGGGAGCTGGGGCCTTTATATTGCTTCAGGTGGCAATCCCTGATTAGAGATGCTAAACGAGCGTCAGCGGGCATTCTGCCAAAAGCGTGCCCAAAACATCTGCCTACTTCCTCTCCCCTCATATCCATCGGCCTGAAAGCAGCGCTTCCCACACATTGACGCTCGATGAACACGTCTCATTCTTGTCAAAAGGTACCCATCAACCAACCAGCCCCTTCCCTTTTCAGCAGAAAGCGGAACATTAATAATCCTCTTGCCGACAAAAAAGAACAGACGACTGGAGTCGACAAGTCGGTGCGTGTCATCGGAAGAAGTTCTCGTGAGGACGCAGGAAATTACTATCGCAGTAGGGGGAACGAGCCGAGAAGGGAAAGAAAAGACGCTTGAGAGCAATGAGGATGGATGAAGGCAGGAAAAGAAGTGGATGACGAGGAAGGAAGGAAGAGGAGGGATAAAAAAAAAAGAAGGAAAGGAGATATGGTTCCGGGAGGTCCATGCAGGTCAATCCCAAAGGGAGGTCCTGATAGCAGCTCCTTCGACAGAGATGGATCCACTACTATCCTAATTCTCTCATTGGATTAAGACCCCTCTAAATATCCTCCAGACTCTTCTTGTCTCCGAGTATGTCTCGCCTATTCGTTGTCCCACCCTTTAAGCCCCTCCTCCTTTCTCGGCCCTGGAGACGCAATAATTGGAACATGTAATGAATCATAGGCCAGAAGCAAGTACAGATCTATTCCCTCTTGGTCTGTGCTCAAGGAGGCACCTTTGCCGTACAAAAATAAAACAATTTTCTTTATCAGTGCAAATGAGTACTCACCGTCTTTTCGCCCAGGTTGTCGACCTTGCAAGGAAGTTGGGCTGTTTTTCCAACGATGACTGTAATTTGATCGGGCGTGGAATTATCGAATCGGACCTTTTGATTCCAACGAAGAATGGCCAATTCGTCTTCCGTCGGCTCCTGGTCCCCCACTCCTATTCCCTTTGCCACCACCTTCCGTGCTACTGTAACAGATGTCAAGGAAACGATACGGAGTTCATGCGAATGCCGTGTAGGAATCCATCGGCGAAATAAAGAGCCTGCAACACGAGTACAGCCCCCCGAGACGACCTGCGCAACATTGATGCCAGGCGATGCACGAACCTCTCTTATTTCCGTCCTGTCATCTGCTCGAGGAGCTTTTATGGTTGAACTTTCACGATGGATGTATTGACCTCAGTATGTGCGGTGGAATACCATTAAATTGAAGTGGGAACGACACAGATCCCGACCGTAGGCCCATAATTGAAATCCCCTTCCAGAGATCCGAGAGAATGAAGAAAAGCTACTTTTTCAATGTGTTTTTTTCATCGTCTTCATCGTGATCATAGTCCTCGTGAAGAAGCGGCTTCGATTTTATGCCAAAAAGATTCCACTTAGCCGTGATGAATGTGGCTAGGGGCTTTTCTCCTTCCTGCCACTCTGCAGCTTCCCTTCCTATTTCTTTCTTTTTTCCTTTCGCAACACCTTTCGATATCGCATGAAAGCGATGCAAGTCTGGCCTCGACCAAGATGAATGAGATACATCTACAAGACTCGGGCTTACCGATGTAGCAATAGGGTACCGAAAATCGAATCTCTTTACTCTGTTTGGGCGAACATTTGTCGCCAATTACGAGGTTAACTTCGATCGGCTCCTCATTTTTTATCGGCGGAGACAGGAAAGATGAAAAAAAGCGGAACCATCAGACGCACGCACGGAATCATCAATATCCACAGACCTTGCACAAGGCTTGTTACTGCGATTATCACTCGAATGATCGCATCACGAGTCCTTGTGATCCGTCGTCAGACAGACACAGTTCTTTTCCGTATTTTTCTCCACCTTTTTTTTCTCTCTTTCCTTCCTGGCAGAGATGATTATTCGAGCGAGAAAGAAGAGATGGGGGGTCGTTAGGAAGTTCCTCCCCTTTTTCCTCTCTGGGAACAACGCAGACGGGAGTAAAAGATCAGAGAAGATATATTTTTTTCTTGGAGAATTATTATGAAGGCAACCAGAGTTCTATGGTTCCCCATGGTTGTGAAAATGACGGAATCCAAGATTTACAACATGCATTCTGGGCTTTTGCACGAAAGAAGAGGGGGTAGGGGGATATCACTGCGATTCGGGCGCAAGAGAATAAGATGCTTTCTCCGATTCGTGCAGCGGCTTCTACGGCTCTTGCAGGAAACACCGAGGAAGAAATCGCAAGAGCGGAAGGGAAGAGAAAGACTCTCGCATTAATTCAGAGGATAGATGTTCGTGAGTGGGTACTTGCCTCTAGTGGGATGAGGGGAGGCTGACGATGACGGGCGAACGAAGAGCAGCACGATCGTCGTCACAAACGCTAATATCACCATCTCAGTCATCTGAAGGAAACACACACGGAGAGTATTACAGATCCCATAACAAGCACGATTCCGTCAAGAACACGTAGGCACTTCAACAGTCAACACTCTTTAAAGAACAGATGAACGATATTTATCTTCGCGAAGTTGCACATTTGAAAGAAATTCATCCAGCCGTTTGACACGGTCATTCATCACGACTGTCTCACATTCCATGCAATTAATGGAATTACACGCAATGCAAGCAGCTGACAGTCTCCTGTCGACCGCGCATTTGAAATGGGGTAAGTGAGTTGGGTCAAGGTTGACGTTTTTCCCTTAATGAGATCCCCAATGCATCCCTGAGGACGTCAGGGCATTTATGCCAACATAACCGGGATTTCATTAAGAGAAACTGTCAATTATGATTAATTAGCAAAACCATGATTTCATTAGAAGAAACTGTCAATCAACCATGAATAATCATTATATCAATCATTCTTACCAAAAATTATTATTGCAAGAAGTTCCTTCTCAGTGAAGACTTCGTATCTGCTTTCGAAATGTTATTTAAAAAATGCTATAATATAATATTATGGCTCATAACGTCGCCAATCTTGACGCCATATTACTGCGAAACGATATTTGAAAACTTTACGGATAATAAACTGTCCATAAGTGAGAATGGATGAAACGAGTGATTTTCCGATGCGAATTCTGTTGGGGTAGTTCCGCATGATTACACCCCTCTTCACGGGCTCTACGTGGAATGATTGATGTACTTGCTTATTCCTCGGTGATGAGGAAAAGAAGAAACCCCCAAGGACCATCACTCTCGGGGAAAAAATTTTTTGAACCGTCTCTCGGAGGAACGGTTCATGTCAGCCCAGCATAAAAGAATATGAATGAACATTGGAAAATCTCTCGAAATCCTATATCTTTGAAGGCTCGGATTACAATGATCCTACTATTGTAATTTCATCACAAGGCAGATTAAGGGGCTTTGTCCCCGCCTCATGCAGTATTAATTAGGGAAGGGAAGGGATCTCAGCCGGCACGAAATGCAAGACCTGAATCGGCTGACAAAGGACGAGTTATGGAAAGGGCAACGTCGAGGAGGATGAGTTTCGAGGCTGATTCATTTTCGTTTCCTTCGGAGTGGAAAAGAGAAGAGGTCGTGGAGCATTCAGATAAGCCATTGGGGGGGAGCAGCCGAGCAAAAGGCGAGAGAGGAAACTTTTTCTCTCTTTCGTCGGAAGAACCGCTCTGCGGACAATTTCCCCCATGATTCCTGATCCAATAACAAGAACTGGTGAGGGGGATATGAGAAGGAGAGAAAAGGAATAAAGTTTTTTCCCTTTCTCGGAACCATCTTTCCTGCATCAAGCCTTTGGCGAAATGATGCCAACGCCTCGCCCTAATGGCCGGCATCTGTCTCTTTGATGCGAAACGAAAAAGCACTTTCTTTGCTTATAGGAAGGGTTCCAGTTTAAAAGCTTCTCCCTGTTTAGCGCGACTTCGGGTCCGATCGCTTCAAATCCCCGATTGAATGAGAAACGCATAAAAAAAATCATCACTCCGATATTCCCTGTGGGATCGACGAAGATAAAATTCGAGGACATTTCGTGAACCAGGAAATGAGAAACAGGATCGAGGGTTGCATTATTCGGTGTCGATTTCTCGTCTGCTGGAATCACGACGTGGCAGAGCGAAGTCCAGCATAATAATACTTCCATTACTCGGGCGTTCCGGTCTAAAAAGCATCTCCCCGTAAAGTGCAACTTCTTGTTAGAAACGGGTGGAAAAACCACGAGTTTAGTATTCCTGGCACGTTGTGCCAAGATAAGAACCGCTCACAGCCCTAGTTAGATGGATCTGAAAAATCTATATATATACTGTATGTGCATTATTGTGAAAGACCAAAAGCACGAAACGAGGGATAACGAATGAAATTTCACATTAATTTATCCTGGAATTTATGTAAAAATGTGCCTCCAAGTGGCAGTTTGGAACATGGCACTTATCCCATGTGACTTCAAGTTTTCGGCATCTGCACTGAAGGGTGTGGCCATGAAAAGATTTCCTGGCCGATTGGTGGAGGAATACCATGCGCAATGGTGCGTGCAATGAGACGATCATTTCTTTGGTGCCGTTCTAGATCGTTCTGGATCCCCTGGTGCGTCCTTCCGCGCAAAAATAAGTGCCTCATCCTGCTGAGTATTCGCAGTTTTCATTTTGGTTTCGTGAAGAAGTAGAGCCCGGGACACAAGCGGGGCACAACCCAGTCCGGTAGAGAGTCTCCTTTCAGCGTGCCATCTTATATGATAGAGGCGTGGTAAAGCGGGATATGTACAGTAGAGGATGGAGTAGGACAATAGAACATAATGACGAGAGACAATGAGCGTGGGAATGCTCGGCGGTCGACACAAAGGAAGCACTACCCAATCCACCCTGCCTTGCGAATCCATCACAGTTCATCACGTGGTTTAATTTCATCGTAAATATCATCGAATGGAAGCCCGTGAACCAATGGAATTTCAAATTCATCACACTTCCTAGTTTTGATGTGATTTTGCAAATTTGAAAGAATTAGCATTCATGCAAAATTGACGAAAGCACGAACTAACAAGCCGACAGACAACGCGCGGGCGTGCACACAAAATTCAGTGCCTCAGTTCGATGCATTTTTCTCGCGAAAAATTCTGTCCTGCGTCTTTATCGCATCGAAGTTTGGATGAGGTTATCGAATCAAATGTTGGATGCTATAAAAATGCATCACATGGAGGACAACTTTTTTCTCGACGAAAATGCATTAATTTGATTCTGCGTGTATAGGTCAGGTATATTATGCGCTTCTGCCGCATTGAACATTTCGTGAGGAACTTCAGCCACATCGAAATTTGCCTTGCATATCTTATTGTGGGAATATAGTGGCTTTTGAGCTTAAAGGCAGAATACACGAACCTCATTCAGGGGAGACAACGGGGCTTTTAGCGAAGGAGCTCTTTTTCTCGCATAGGAATCCATGTGTTCTTAAAAGGACTGTTAAATATATATATTACACACACACAAACACACAAACATCCTTCCACGGCACCTGCCGGTATTGGAGATATATGAGGGGGGATGAACCACATCCCAGACCTCATACTCGTACACCACCAACGCACCAAACGGAATACAAACACCGTATGAAACTGGACTCGAAGAATGAAGTAAGCGGTTACATGGGAATCCCTTCGAGACGCAGGAGCTACTCACACGGGTCGGAGGGAAGGTGAAGTGGCGATGAGGCCATGCACTCAGGCGGTTGCGTGTGAATCCCTCGGCTGTCAATGCATCGCCCCGAGGGTTCATGGGGGGGAAGGAGGGAAGGAGGGGAGGGGGCTTCCTCGGCACATCGGCACAATGAAGTGGAATATGGAGGTTAACATGTGTCTAGACGATGTGCAGCCACTCAAAACACCCTTCCGACTCGGCTATAGACGCATTTTGGTTTTGCGAACGCCTTTCAGGCGACCCTGCACGGTCGGGAAGCGAGACATATAAATCGAAAATCTAGTTGATGTCTTTTTCTCTTGAGAAAAATAAATCGAAACGCGAAAATTGAGAGAAGTATTTCATCTCGATTTACCGATTTCTCTGAGTGTAGACCCAGACACTCAGTAACAGGCAGCCTAATTCCTCCTTCAAGAGAGGAGGTAGGCGAAATGCGATGAGATCGATGAAGAGAGCCTGAGGGGTTGATTTTTCCCCCATCAAGCCACCATGTGACATAAGGGAATCCAATATATCGTCCAAGATGTTTGATGAAGCACGAGAACTAACTTCAAATTAGAGGAAATGTGACATCACGTTTCAGACAGACTTAATATGTTACTTATGACTTTTCTCTGGCTTCCGTGAGCATCGAGGAAAGCCCGAATGCGATATCGACTGGCATTGGGATGTCACGACAAACATAGACGGAAGCCTTTTCATCACCTGCATGTGCGTGGTTTCTGTCGGTGCATCATGGCTTCCTTAAATACATTATTGATGGGATTGATCAAAGGCACTGCTGGATGTGAAGCACCCCAACGGATAACTCAAATCCCATGGGAAATTCTCCAGAGATTATCGACTATAGAGGGTTTATCTTGCTGCAGACGATGAGCGAGGGCTTCACGATAACAGCGATGATGATGATGACAGCTACAATCTGCTGGATATTTGATTCGACGGCGCAAAATCGAAAAGCAATAACTTTTCCACAAAAAAAGAGGCAAAAGAGGATGAAGAACAAGAGGGAATAATGTGAACGAGGGCGACATCCGCTCGAATGACTGCATGCAGTATCAGACCATGAATTTTACATGAGTCACCACCAATTAAGTCTGGAGGGCAGAGGAAGAAAGAAAATTAGGAAAAACAAACCATTCTGATATATTAAAGAGATGGGGAACGATTATGCACGGACGGGAGCAAATCACCTTCCGTATGAGAAAAAATTCATTCATTATTCATCTTGCATGAGGATTTCTCAGCGTTATCTTAGCGCGGCGGTTCATTTACCCTATCTCTTGACATGCTTTGAAGGATTTCGTGTTCCTCCTCCAAGTAGGAGCGCCATATTTCGAGATTCTCAGTCACACCCTTCTACCATGAGAGAATACCACCTGAGACGTTGCATGAATCGATTCCAGTTAGTTTCTGTCCGAGGGCTGCTGTCGTCTGAAGGGGGTCTCTCATTCTATTTAACCCTTTCAGACCTGAATTAAAGCCACAAACGGAATAATATACTTTTTGCATTTTTTTTAGCTCTTTAGCAATTGTAATTTAAGTTTTTTTATGATTTATACATCGTTTTTATATTTTGTATAAATTTACCATATTATACCATATATAATATATCATACATTTAATTGGATAACTGAAGATTACAAAACTGACAAGTCAAAGAAGGCCTCCAATGGAATTGAGCCATACATAATTGTGCCCATTGTAGTGTCATATGGGGCGCAAAGTCACGAGAATCCTGAGAAATTACCACAGACACAATGAAAGTGCAATGTCCATTGGGATGGACGCCAGGTCTGAAAGGATTAATTCGTTAAATAAGCGAAACCTCCTGACTGGAGGGGGTCGGAACTTGAATCATGCGCAAAGTCGGAAGATTTTGAAGAAGATGCCTGTGACATCCAGGTCTCGCAGTGGGGGATCGGGTGATAACGAAATCCTAGAAAAGCGACGGGGGGGAGGGGGGAGGAGGCTCTCAGAAAACCCTTCCTTCAAAGAAGAAGAAATAATGCCAGGATAGAGGAGGAAATGGATCTGATAGTCGGCAAGTATGACGAATCTGCTTAGTGGTCACGGAAAAGCCTCGTTCAAGATGACGGACACTTTCACCTGCTTCACTCCCTCCTTCCACGTCCATGGTTTCAGACTCAATCTCTGGCCGATGACAGGTGCATTATAGGCCCCAAGCATTCCTTTTATGGATTGCTTTTGCCTTCGCGTTGACTCACGATAAAGGTGTGCAAATGACTTTTTGATGGCTCTCGGTGTCACATTATTCCTCGTATGAGGGGTATAGAACACCATATAAACTCCAGTCGCCGTTCATGAGACATTTCCCACAGCGTCATTTTTCTTGAGCCGAACCGTCAGATATTTTGACACCTCTATCGTATGATGGACGTCGAAAGAAAAAGGCCGATCCTAAGAAATCTCGACCGCTAAATCAGAGGACATGAAAAGGAATCGGAGAAAAAGAGGATGAGATATGGGAGAGAAGCTAGTTTGTAAGGAGAGAATCCGGTGACGTGAACCGACAGATAGGCCCGCGCTCCATACATTTTCCCTTTCCTAGTGTCCTATCTGTGACAGGCCCCCTATTGTTTTCGGCTAGGTTGTGCGGAACTCAGAAATGTTAGAACCGCGGTACCGAGATGTCCGTACGGTAGTGTGGTATTTCAAGAGAACCAACTCTCCTCTTCCCAGGAAAGGGAGGAGTGCTGAGCTCCCTCAGAGCCAGGCCAAGGCGGAGGGGGTAAGGAGAGAGGGGGGAGGGGGAGAGGATGGAGGGTGAGGAAGGGTGGCAGCTGAGACAGCGCAGGAATAGTTTCTATCCATCGATGTCTTCCGACACCTGCGGTCCTAAGGTACCTTCAGTTTTTCCTATACCTGAGGTACTACTGCACGAAGTGACTAAGCTTCGGTTCTAGGACCGAAACCGTTAATACTGCTTTACCGAAAAACTGCACAGCCCTAGCTTTCGAGATAGAGAAAGCAAAGCTCATGTAGCAGCCCCTAAATCGACCGATCCAGTGAATTCGAGAAATCGAAGACGATTTCTGCTGTGCGCACACAAGTAATCGGATTACGCCGGAATGGAGAGTGAGCTCCGGGAGATTTCCCATTCCGCGATGAATAGAAAAGATAATTAGACTCCTTTCTCATTTACTCCGGAGAGCCTGAAGAGTTACTTCGGCGGGCGATCCGCCCTTCTCCTTTCGTGTTGGCCATCTCTCCAAGGAATAGAAGGGGGATTAAACTTGGAAGTGCGATGAGGAAAACCGATGTAAAAAGTAGGTCAACCAGCGAACAAACGTGGAAATGACGTGGACTTCTCGGCAGGTCAATCTCGACGACTCGAATACTGGCAAGTTTACGACGCAGGATACCATTTTTGAAAGCGAAAGAGTGACTAATGGAACGAGAAGTACGGTGAAAAAAAAAAAATGAAAAAAAGAAACCAGAGAAAGAAAAGGGTGGAGATGGAATCAGAAAATTCAATCAGGGTGTATGGAGGGAGCGAAATTCAAGAGTTTCCGGTCCAGAGGAGTTGACACAATCGTTGGCAAGCCCCTGGATTGCCTCCCGCACAAATCCATCTCAGCCTCTACCTACGAGCCAAGGACATGAAAAGGTCAGTCCGGGTGAGGGGGCTCTTCTCTGCCTCTTCTATAGAGTTCTGCAACTGCAGTGCAGAGGCGGATGAGAAAAATGATACAAAAAATAAAGCGGACCTTCACATCTGTAGAAAATCTATATTTGCCTTCATCAAAATCGAGTGCAGAAGGCAAATACAAGTCAAGGACAAGGAAAGAATTGCGGATGCATACGAACGGAAATTCTCTGCGATGCTTGCCAAAGAAACCTGTTACATTAATGGAGTTCGCATGATGGGTACCGTTCGAGAGGGGAAGGGGAAATGATACCGTGAGGGTAAACCCAAGTAACACAGTATGTTGAGGAAACGTTTCCGAAATGTTGCCTATGTTGCTTTATGTTGCAAGTTGCTGTACAACATTGAGAAAACATTGCTTCAATGTTTTCACTTGGAATGTTGCCGTGACACTTCTACGAATGTCATTGTAACATTGGCTATCAACATTGAGAGAATGTTGACACTCTTGACATCGACAACGTAGCGACAACATTCTGATACAACATGGACTTAGAAGTTTTAGAGAATTGTAAAGTTGTCCTCCTTGCCACGAGATGGAGACGTAAGTCTCTCTTTCTCACAGTACACAAAAGTGCCCTTCTCCCTTTCCCTGGAATAGTCCCGCACAGGAATGTCTAGTACCTTGCCATATGTCTTACATTGTCTCATTATAGGAATCAATGAACACGGGCACTTCATCACCTGTTATCCTCATTTTCCAGACAGATTAATGGGGTCAAGATAAGAAAAGCTCATATTCCCAAAAAGAACCCTTTCCAAGAACTCGTCGAATTCATCCTACGGGACAATACAAACGATGGTAGAGAATCTGCGATCTCAATACTTCATATCCTCATTCTGGGTACTAGATGAGGAAACGAAGGCTTGTTCTCGTGGACACTCCATAGAACAGTGCGGTCGGACCTTTTCCTGTATTGTGCAATTTAGCGCATCCAGGGGAAGATCACCTCCAAGAATGTACTGTTTCCTGCCTGTCCATTATACAGATACTGTATTATGAATGGGTAGAGGGTAAAACCAGTACAGGCTTCATCCTGTTGATGGGAATGTCTGAGTAGAGAGGTATATGGTACGAAAGGATGAAATAAATAATTCAATATTGGTCGAATATCGGTTCAGTTCAGGACCAGTGAAGCCTACGCTTTTCCGTAATGCCAATATAGGCCCAGATTAGGTGCCCGTGAAGCAACGTTTTTAATCAACATTGCAGCAACATAAATCCTGAAACGTATCTGCAACGTATATGTAATGAATAAGTAGCGATTTGCAACGTAAATGCAATGTTCCTTCGCAACATTTGAGCAACGTTGACGTTTTGGACATTTACACATAGATGCAACATTGTTCATCAACATTTCCTAAACGTTGCTGGAATATCTTGTGTTACTTGGGAAGAGACATGGGA